CAGTGCGGATGGGTTACAGCTGCTCACAGAGAAGAAGCAGATACTGGAAAGATGGGCCGAACACTTCAACATCGTTCTCAACCGTCCTGCTGCAATAAATGATGAGGCCATCGCCCGCCTGCCCCACGTGGCCATCAACAAAGACCTTGACACCCTCCCCACGGAAGAAGAAGTCAGAGAGGCAACAAAACAAATCTCCTACGGCAAAGCCCCAGGACCCGACGAAATCCCTGCCGAAGTGTACAAAGCAGGAGGCCCAAATATGTTTAAAAAGCTGACTGAACTTTTCCAGGTCATGTGGAACGAGGGAAAGCTCCCATAACAATTTAAAGATGCCAAAATAATCCACATCTATATGAGGAAGGGCAACCGGCAGAATTGTGATAATCACCGGGGAATTTCACTCCTGTCTATAAGCGGCAAGATTCTGGCCCGCGTCCTACTGAACCGCCTCCTCCATCACCTGGAACAGGGACTCCCCCCAGAGACTCAGTGCGGCTTCCGGGCCAAAAGAGGAACTACAGACATGATCTTCGCCGCCCGCCAACTCCAGGAAAATGCCAGGAGCAACACTGCGACTTACTCGTGACCTTTGTGGATTTAACGAAGGCCTTCGACACTGTCAGCAGAGAAGGATTGTGGCGGATCATGGAGAAGTATGGATGTCCAAGTAAATTCATTACCATCGTCAGACAGCTTCACGATGGTATGATGGTGAAGGTGTTAGGGGACGGAGACGAGTCAGACACCTTCCCTGTGACCAACGGCGTTAAACAAGGGTGCGTCCTTGCCCCAACTCTTTTCAACATGGTATTCTCCGCCATGCTAACAGATGCCTTCCACAGCAGTGAAGATGGCATCCGGATCAGGTACAGAACCGACGGCAGGCTGTTCAACATCAGGCGCTTCCAGGCTGCTACCAAGGTGAAAGAAACAGTCATCAGGGAACTTCTCTTCGCCGATGACTGTGCACTCAACGCTAGCACAGAAGAGTGTATGCAAAACGAAATTAACTGTCTCACCTTAGCCTGTGACAACTACGGCCTCACCATCAACACCAAGAAAACCGAAGTCTTGTACCAACCAGCCCCTGGTCAACCATACATCATGGTGAAGGGACAGAAACTCCAGGCAGCTGACCACTTTACATACATAGGCAGCACACTTTCACGAGCCGTTCATATAGATGCTGAAATAAACGCCAGAGTTGCCAAGGCCAGCGCCGCCTTTGGAAGGCTTCGCAAGAATGTCTAGGAGCGCAGAGGACTCAGCCTCTCCACAAAACTGAAGGTCTACCGGGCAGTGGCTCTTACCATTCTTTTCTACGCCAGCGAGACCTGGACTGTCTACAGCAGACACGCCAAGCAGCTCAACCGGTTCCACCTGAGCTGTCTTCGTAAAATCATCCGCATCCGATGGCAGGACAAAGCCCCAGACACTGCTGTTTTAGAGCGAGCCGGAACACCCAGCATCTATACCATCCTCCACAAAACGCGAGCCAGATGGGCCGGCCACGTGATCAGAATGGCGGACAGCAGGTTGCCCAAACAGCTGATGTATGGAGAGCTGCTTCATGGCAAGCGCTCAGTTGGGGGGCAGAAAAAACGTTTCAAGGACTGCCTCAAAGTCTCCCTCAAGGAACTTGGAATCCTGAACGACTCGTGGGAAACGCTGGCCCAAGATTGTCCAACGTGGCGTTCAAGCTAACGAAGGGAGCCAAAGCAGCAGAGGCCAAGCGAATCGCCGAGGCTAAACAAAAACGCAACGTGCGCAAGTCCAGACCTGCCTCCACCACAAGTCCAACATCAGACTACCCGTGCCCACAATGTGGGCGAACCTTTCGAGCCCGGATAGGACTAATCAGCCATCTCCGGACTCACAGTAACCGTCAACAGACCAATTTGTGAAGTCATGGTCATCTTCATATGCGAAGGACGAACAACAACAAACAGTTTTTGTTTATATGGGGTTATTTGTCGACGTTGTTGTCGTGATAGTTGTTGTTATTGTTGTTTTTGTTGTTGTTGTGGCTGTTGTTGTAGTTGTTGCTGATTTTGTTGCCTTTCTCTTTTTGTTGATGTTTACTACGTAACTGTCATACAAGGGAAGGGAAAGAAAGGAAGGCCTAAAAGTTAAAAGAACTTGTAAGAGGGACATAGATTTGAATCTAAAGGAAATGGATGCACCTGGACAGAAGTGGAAACCGTATCCCAAGACAGAAATACATGTACAAGAAACATGGAGGGCTCTAGTTGGAGGCCTACTCTCCAGTACAGGGTGACAAAAGCTGGTGGTGGTGCTGCTGCTGCTGCTCCTGAAGATGATGATGATGAGATGATGATGATGATGATGATCCTGATGATGATGATGATGATCCTGATGATGATCGCTTAGTTGCTATCTTAGTTGTTCGGACACTATTTTTCTTGTTCATCCCACTTGTATATCTACGAGCGAGGAGGGGCAGCCGAGGTCCGTCCCCTAAAAGTCAGGAAAACCCCACATTTGTCTCACTTGATAGCGTCTCTCTGGTCAAAATTCTCTACGAGACAATGTTCCGTCTAAGCTCCGAAAATAGCTCCCCATGGCCTTCGCTTGGCACGGCAGAATATAGATAGTTTTCAGTAAAAATCTTCTCAGGAATTTGTTTTAAATGGATATAAAAGGTTTAACCCCCCCCCCCCGAAAAAAAATTATGAAAAAAATAATCGATAAAAATTGCTGAACGGGATGCAACAATTATATGTCCGTGTTTTCGATGGTATGATTTTGATGACTACAAGATTTCCCCACAACGCCATATAAATGTTGTTATTCTTTTTCTCCTTCGTTACTACAGGGGTTTTACTTCCACCTGGGGTGCAATCTGCAGATTCATAACACCCCTCCCTTTTTTAAAAATCCATTGGGAACCATAAGTGAGGTGAGGTGGAATGGAGGCATGGGGATGAGGCGTGGAGAAATGGGCAGTCATACAGATGGTGCAAGATGACCCTTAGACCGGATGCTAATCTCTTGCAGTTTGGCCCCCTACATCTCCACCCGCTTCATCCGGGAGCTAATATCCTGTGACTAATGAGACCAACACAAGCTGTCACACAGAGCCCTCCGACAAGTTGTCTTTGCTAGGCCAGTCGTAATGTGCACTGTAAAAACTGATTTAAAAAATGAGCCAGAAATAATCAGTCCCAAATCAAATCTACCCGATCAATGTCGGTAATGTCCTTGATGTCCAGCAGAAAGTTATTAAGCTCTTATCTGATGTGCACAGGGAGACTATAAAATGTCCAGCTCACACAACCAGGCAATTACTTCCATCGCCAGGACATCTGTGAGAGAAAGTTTGCGCTGATTTTGGTAAATATTGTTTCCGTCGAAATTGTGCGTTCTGTTAGTTTTACCCCCCCCCCCCCAGTTCACATACACTTTAAATGGGATGGTTGTATACTTGTATCTGTTAACAATTAGGAGTGCGTCAAACAACATACATGACACTAGGCGACTCAAATCGGGAATTCAGAATGTTTAAAATAAAAACAAAAGATTGAAATGCGATTTAAAAAAAGCCCGCGAATAAAGCCCAATATACAGTATTGTATCACAAAGATAAAACAGTTCAGAGAGCATTTAACTTTTCCCACCACCAAACTGGGCCTAAATTCGATTTTTCCTCATAGATGTTAATGTTTCAAAAACTTCCCTACACCTTGCAGTTGGCTCAGTGTTTGTGACTCAATGAGCAACTCTCCATGTGGCAACACTTGGATCGCCGTGACGCCAGTCCCCGATTAGCGCGATTAACTTTTAACTTTTTCTTTTTTTTTTTTGGTGGGAAGAAGGGGGGGGGGGGATCTATTTGTACCCCACAATTTCGCTACACTAGATTTCCAAAGTTCTATCTGCTCAGTTTTGAGAAATGTGTTGTAAAACAATGTGAGTTTCACAGGCAAAGCTTTTTGGGATGCAATTCTTTGAGTATTTTGATAACGGCATCGAATGATCTTAATATTTGTATTGAGCAGGTAGAACATTAATTGTTTTCTGACCTCATGGTCTTAGTACCTCAAAACGGTCAAAAATGTCAGATAGAACTTTCTAGCGCTAAGGTAGCAAGTAAGTCGCACTCTATGACGTCCGGTCACTTAAATCTTCCTCATTGAGGGCGCGTATTTTGGTCACTCGAGAACGCTTGAAGTTAAGGAAGCGTTGTTTGGGGCTTTTAAAATTAAAAAAAAAAGAAGCATAACTTCGTCATTCGTACAGATTTCTCTTTTTCAATTCTGTGGTCTTTGAAAGAAACTTTGATTTAAAAAAAAGGCTGGCAACAGCATCCAAATTTGTTTTGCTGATATGTTATATATATGTTTATGGTGTTGATATATGAATATATATATATATATATATATATGTATATATATACATATCGGAATATAGAGATATATATTGGGGGGACACACACACACACACACACACACACACACACACACACACACAAGCATACACACGCAGGCACACATACATGTGGAATCCCCCCCCCCACACACACACACGTACAAGCAAGTACACACATACACAAACCACCACAAGCTCATTCACTTAAATGATTGTATTATTGTGCTGTTGTCCTTTCTTACTTCTTTGTGCTATCTGATTTTGAGAGTACTGACAGGGTTCACGTCTTTTATGTACTTTAAAAACCCCAGGGGTTTCAGGGTGGGGGTAGGGTCCTCCTATGTTATCTCAATTCTTATTGAACAGTTAGTTTTAGAATTGTTTTTTTTTTCTACTTGTTTATTGGTTGGATGGATTTATTGGTTTCTTGGATTTATTGGATTGTTGAATAATACTGTCAATGTATTTTTTTCTTTTTTTTCTTTTTGATTATGAATTCTGTATTCTTTTCTTTGTTACTTCTTTTGTATGTGGCGCCTATATTTTTGTCTGTTTACTTAATTATGTTTATTACGTATCCATTAATTTTGTCTGTTTTTTATATTTACGAGTCCTGTATTTTCGTCTGTTTCCTTAAGTACATGTATGTTTATCATGACTCCTGTATACTTTGTTTTTCCTTTTAACTTTTATTTACTTTCTTAATGCTTTCCAGTAATATATTTTAGTTTGTTTCCTGTTAGGTTCACAATGAAAGTCCTATTTCTAGCTTTGTTGGGGGTCTGTGCCCTTGCATCTGTGGCAAGAGCGGATGACTGGGAGGACTGGATTGCAGCTGCCCTCCTTGCTCAAGTCATAAGCAATGGCCAGGTATCTATTCACATGACACACATTAGTGTCTTCTTTTTCTTCTTCTTCTTCTTCTTCTTCTTCTTCTTCTTCTTCTTCTTCTTCTTCTTTTTCTTCTTCTTCTTCTTCTTCTTCTTCTTCTTTGAGTTCCCTACCTACAGTAGTAACGAAGCTGACCAGCTTGAATTGTCATTAAGGCTTTGAACATTTTGCCTCCTTGGGGGAAAAGGCAAAGGGGCAAAGGCAGATCAAGGGTCACGTAGAAAACTTGAACTGATGTATGAAGAAAAAAGGACGGGTTAATTTAAGTTGTTATTGTTCGTTTATTATTATGTTGTCGCGTTAAAGGATACAAACCTCTTGACTCATCGCTAGCGACTGCGTATACGACGCGACGACGCTAGCGTCGCGTCGCGTCGCGTCGCGCAAGAGACATACGCTAAGAGGGGGATGTAGTTCTCATCGTAACATTATAGGCAGGGTTGTTTGCACCAAACCCATCCAGCTTTTCATTTTTCTGCTGGCGTGTGTAGTGTAGTGGTTAGACGCTTCGACGCCGCTCGCAGGAGACCCGAGTTCGATTCCCGCGTGGGGATATTTTTATCCAGCATCTCGGTCTTTCTGCTACGATTTTATATTCCTGTCAGACTGGCTTGGCTCTGAAAGGCACGGTCGAAACCCACTTCCTAGATGATCTATATTATTGAGTCGACAGGGGCATTAAAACACCTACATTAACATTTTTTTGTTTCCTGTCTACACCTCAGAATTACAAAGTTCTATCCGGCATTTTTTGGTGGTTTTGAGTTATTACCACCCCGAGATCAGAAACTAGATATTCTATCTGCTCTATCTAAATCGTAAGGTCATTTGGAGTCGTTATCAAGCTATAATTCAAATAATTGCATTATAAAAAGCTTTATTTGTTGTAAAACTCAAAATTGTTCACGTCCACTTGCTCAAAACAAGATACAGGGAAGACAGAAAATTGTAATTCTAGTGTACCGATTTGTTTCCTATCACCCATTACGAGAGTTGTAAAACGATGAAAGCGAACAGGAAAGGTGTCCTCTTTCTGTTCTGCAGCAGTGTGCTGCCTGGGGTACAGTCTGCACTGCCAACAGACCGTGCTGTCAGTATCTCGGCCATGGACCCATGGGATGCTTCAACAACCAATGTTTGCAGGCACAGGTGAGAAACATAAAAAGAAGGACAGAAATACAATAAATTCTTGATTGGATCAACTAGGATGGAAAAAATATACTTTCCCTTCAACCTGTCGTCCATATTCAAGAGAATTAAATATTACCTGGACTCGATCGTTCTTCTCAGAAATCATTTATTGGTCCCGGCAGTTTGCGTCGGCGCTAAGAAAAAAACTTCATCCTCGTGTTAGCTGTGGGTTATCTATTTTACTGTTTTGACAGTATCTTTTATAAATTTAAAAACTATCATTTTGAAAACACCATTTCCAACAAAAGAACGTCTTTGATGCATTTCCAGACTCTGTATTTTGCTTCTGACCTTGAACAAAGACAATAAACTGATATAAAAGTTCGTCAAAAATATGCTTTCTTTTTACATTTGGTTTTCAAAATTCATCATTTTCTGTTCGGTACGAACGTCTTTGACGGGTCACAGGTTTGTACATCCAGCATAATTTATTTATACTTTCTATTTACCCACGTGCATTAAGCATAATTTATTTATAATTTATAAGGGTGCATTCAGCATACTGTATACTTTCCATTTTTCTACAGTGCATTCAGCATAATTTATTTATACTTCCTATTTTCCTAAGGTGCATCCAGCATAATGTATACTTTCCATGTGCGTACATTGTATCCAGCATTGCTTATACTTCCTATTTTCCCACAGTGTGGTTATGAGGGGCAGGAGTGCGGCGCCTTTATCGGAGAATGTTGCTGGCATCTGGGTCTTCAGTGCACCGGGGACTTCTTAGGAGGCCGATGTGTCAAGAACACTCTTGGCAAATAAGCTGACAGACTCATTGGATTAAATATTATGTTCTTTATATGTTTGTATGGGAGACCAGCCCAGTAGTTATGTAATAATATCTGATTTGTGTCGACGTTTTCCTTGTAATTGCTTTAGAAGGTGTGGTTAGCCTAGCCATGCTGTCTTTTCAATTTTCACCAAATCAAGAATAGGATACAGTAGAGCTCGGAAAATAGGCAAACGTTATATTTCGTACATTTTACGTACTTCCCCGTGGCTAGTGTTAGACGTTGTAAGTTGATTCTGTGTCATGCTGGCCTGTATCGTACGGAAGCAACGATGCCTATATCGATGGGCGCTTCTTGATATAAGAGAAGTTTGTCAAAATTTACAAACATGTTAACCCCCC